AAACGGAGCCAAAAGTTACGCACGGCATAGCGGCAATGGATCCCTTAGAGATAGGCTTTGGACTTCCAGGCCATCTCAGGCCACTCAGGGTCAGTGTGGACTCTCAGGAGCCTGCTTAGGATCCCGGAGATCGGCGTGGGTCACCCCAAATATTTACGTGTATGTGGTGCTTTACGGCTTTCCGAGCCCAAGGTGGGGCCCTCAGAAGCCAGTGTAGGCGGCGGGCGCTAAGAGACTAGGCCCAGGGTGAGCCTAGAGCCCTCGGATAAGTGTGAACCGTTGGGGTCTGTGTTGAATCCCTAAGGACCCTACGTATAGGGACATAAGAAACATGTGTTGCGGCCCTCATAGGGACACGTGAGTTGTGACCCCTCAGATGCCGGCTGGGGGGTAGCAAAGTCTGTCGCTTCAAAAGTTCGGCTGAACTATCAGAGGCCAGTTAACCCTCGCCCTGGCAGAGCATTTTTCATAACACGGCCTGGCAGGGGGGGGGGGTCGATGCGACCCCCCCCCCTCGCGATTGGCTCCTATGGCACCTAGAAACACCAAATTTGGTAGGTAGGTGGGCCCCCTGGAGTTCTCGCCCCTGTGCAAATTTGGTTGCTCTAGGTCAATATTTAGGGGGGTTTTGGGGGTATAAATGTAAAAATTTCGCTAAAAACAGGTCAAAATATTTTCGCTTATAACTTTTGATCTAATTAAGATAGAGCAAAAAGAAAAGCACCAGTGAACTCAGCACGTCAAGGCGCGTCGAATGATATACTTTTGAGCTTGCTTAAGTGTACTTAAAGTTTTTCTTAAATGTTAAGTAAACTTAAATTAATAAATTATGTTAAAGTTAACCACATTGCATCATATCGCATATCATTCGACTCGGCTGATCACCAGGAACACAATGATACCATTTTTTAAGCTCTAGCGTCATTATGTGCCAAGTTATTGGCAAAAACGTCATTTGACCTCAGTTGACCTCATTTGACCTGACCCATGGATAAGTACTCCAAACAAAGAAGCACCAAGTGACCTGCTGTTAAGTACTGTGGTTTCAAAGCACAAAAGTGATAGAACGAAGCGGATATCTCCAGTATTTTCCGAATTTAGTATTTTCCCATAGGCTTAACATTACGACGTAATGACCTCTAACTGACCTCAGGTTAGTGACCTCAAAAAACCCGAACTATATGTTATACAACTCGGTGACCTTAGCACATCCTGAAAGTTTGAAGGAAATCAGTGCAAAACTGTGAGTTGGACAGGTGCAAAAATAAAATTGAAATTTGACCATGACCTTGTACCGGTTTTTCTGACCTGGTGACCTGACCCAAGGTCACCCGGACCTGAAATTTTCAGGTCATATGTAAAAAGGTTGCCCCATAGGCTGTGCCAAATTTGGCGGCGCAGGCATCCTCAAAGATTCGTGTGGCCCTTCAGAGGTCTATGTATGTATAAGGTCCTAAAAGATCCCTGTATGGGCCCTCAGAGAACATGGACACCAGTGGGACTCTCAGAGGCCGGTTTGGGCCCTCTGAAAGCTTCTTAGACATCAGTGGAGCTCCTTAGGAGCCTGTGTAGAAAGCAAGCTCATGAGCCCTGCGGCACTTGAACGGTACTTGCGCCTGTCGCAGACATTTGACGAGTCGAGAAAAGCCCCATAGATTTCGTGTCACGCTTTGAACGAAAATTATGTGTCATCACTCCAAAACTTATGAAAATCAGCTATAAAATGTAATAAAGAACCAACTAGGAACATGGAATGAATCACAGCATTGACATTTCCGAGTCTGGAGTCGGAGTCTTGAAGATTTTGGCGACTGCGACTCTGACTCTGGTTTGAACTGCACGCTCCAACCGAGTCTGACCTTACACACATTCTCAGAAAGGTACCCCCATTTTTTTCCCGACTCCAAAATCTCATCGGATCTGTATCGATCTCAGGGGGTGCCCGGTCCGAGGTTGGGGGGGCAAGCTGCCCCGCTTGCCCCCCCCCCCCGTGGCGACGCTAATGTGACTGATACACATAAATAGCACATTTATTTTCATTGAGACACACTTGACACAGGTGTCAGGTATTGTTAGATACCTATATCATCGCATCGCCTTATGGTCAGAAATAGTTCTAAACAAGATTATTTCACCAACTGGTTCTATACACATTCACATAATTACCCTGTTTAGTGGTGTTCAAAGTTTTATGTCTAAACATAAACATTTTGTAAACCCAAAGAACCCTAAATAACTTTGAAGAGTGAATATAATGCTTAATTACTAGAAGAATAACATTTTGAATCTTTCATCTCGATGAATCATAACACAAGACCAACTGCGGGACTGGTTGTGATCTGTGGACCCATTGGATCCAACCAATCTATCATGAAGCTATGGCCAGGTAGAAAAACGAATGAAAACCATGCATAAACGGTGGACCCTACAAATCAATTCACAACACCTATTATGCATGATCCCAAGTGCTCATGCAAAGTGATGCCTAACAACTCAAAATGATAGGTATAATCACATTTGATCCATAGGTAACGCATACGAAATTACAAATTGAAACACTTGCTCCTTAAAGGCAAAATCACACTTTCGTTTCAAATCTCGACGAAATGTTTCAAGGACTAGAAATATTGCCAAAAATTATGCTCAGATAGGTAACTATATGGTCGTAACAATCTCCTGACAGAATCGAAGACCTATTCGAAGATGCATGATAGGTATCTTCAGATACGAGATCGAGACGCTAGGATCCGATCCCAGATCCATTTTCCCAGATCCATGCACATAGTTGATTAATTTTGGCAAATGCTTATACATTGGTTATCCACTAGCATGGTGGCAATTCACAATCATGGATGAGCTAACGGCCAGCGTTATGAGCTCGTTTCCGCGACTATTAAAATTCAAACAAAAATGGACGTTACTAAGCACAGTCGTATTAGCAGTAAGCAGAATGCCTAGCTTAGGCAGCCCGGCTGCGCCACGATTCATTTCTATCTTTGCCTGGCCTGCCTGATATAGGTTATGTAGATTTACACCAGCCTATTGGCTGGCTGGCGGCTGGCCCTGGTTATTTACAACCTTCGAAGTTCGAGCATCCCTAAGTGGAACAGAGCGGCGCCGCGCCCTCTCACGCGGGGCATGACGTCACCCATAGCCCCGCCCTCCCGCCGTAGGATGTCCGGTATTGGTCCGCGCGACAGCCAATCATAGACCGCGTCGTTCAATGAATGGTCAGTAATCAGGGCATGAAAAGTGACGTGATTTCTAGCTAATAGCTGATGCCTGATTGGCCATGAATTGGCAGAGCTTCGCGAAAAAAGCGTGTGAATCGTTGCAAGACTCGGCGATTTAAGGTCTAATGTCAGCCGGTGGATTAGGGCCTAGGGGTAGGTCAACCGTCAAAGGCTCCAAGTAGGAGCCCGTTTTTTTTTTTTTGCAAAGCCAAAGGTCTTCTCCAAAAAAGCCGCGATTTTGGCGTCATCGTGCTCGTCATGCCCAGGAGCATAGGCGGCGGAACGGGGAGGGCACCGGGGCGCCGTGCCCCCCTTTGATTTTGGCGTTTTAACATTAGCCCTATGGGCGTTGCATGGAAAGAATAGGACCAAAACCAAAAGTCGGCAGTGCCCCCCCCCCCTTGATTGAAGGTGTTCCGCTGCTACTGCCCAGGAGCTTCAAAAGACGTAGGAGAGACCCGGGAGGTGTGGGCCGGTTTTGTGAAAAGGCAATTTTCTTCCAGTGGGCAGTGGCTAGACTCGGGTTTTCACTCTGTGTACGCGAAATTGCCTTTCGCCTGCAATGTGGCCTGATATT